ACACAGTAACCATCCACTAAGCACTAAGTATATTTGTTAAATTGAGAATTTCTTGAAAAAGTGAACTCTGCATAGAATTAGTACATCTCAACTTTGGCTCTCAATTTTTTTGTAAGGTGTCAGGTTTTTTGAAAAATATAAAATCGTAGAAGCCACCAGTTGAAGTAATTAATTTAATCAACGGGACTTGCAGTTCACATTAACATCTTGTCTTGCTTACTGTAGCTCTCTTGGTGGCTAAAACAAGCTCCAGATGTTTTGGAAATAGTTTGAATGATTAAATTAAAAACCGTTTTGGTGACAAGGAGCAGCTGTTCCTCTTGCTGGTGACACTGGGTTTTTACATTAAAGGAAACAAATTCTGGCAATAGAAGTCTTTTTTTCCATTTCTCTTATACATCTGAAGCAGTTTTAGAATTTCCTACCGCCCCTCTTAAGTTAAGTGCTGGCAATGGACATATAAATATTTATTGGGGGTATTTTTGTTAGATCTATACTAATTTACTTCTCCTTTAATTATTAAATTAAATGAACTGCTAAGTAATGTACACAAGCTGTGCCCTGATGGCATATGTAAGTCCTGGAGAAGCAACTAAAGGCACTGAGCTTATACTGTTATTTACATATAATAGAGCTACTGCTGCAGTGGGTAAGCATGGCCATGTGCTACATTACCGTCACTGATGATGTGACCAATTCAGGCAAATGATGTGACCAATTATTACTGGCAAAACCAGGGAAGTGTCAATTTGCAAACATTCCCAAAAACATGGTATATTAAAGAGATTTCCCAGACCAAAGCAACCTATAAACAAAACCTTAATCACTTGATGAGCGTCATGTTACACCCCCTTCCTGTCCAGGCCATTTTTTCAGTTTTCAATGCTGTGATAGTCATTGTACCACTGTACTCAAATCCCAACACTGTGCCTGTGGCACTGTAAACCCCCCAAAACAATCCCACATTGGTGGTAAGTGGTAAAAACATTGGTGGTAAGTGGTCCCCAATTCCCTATTCAATTGCACATTTATTGCACTGCCACTTTAAATCCTCACAAAAAATTGCTGGTCAGTGGCATTTTAAAAATCCCCACCACCTCCCCTTTCAATGGTGGTTGCTGGCACTTTAAATCCCCCCTAAAACATTCTCACTACATTGGTAGTCAGTTGCCCTTAGCACCCCCCTTCAACACTCACACACAAACCTTTGAGCGCAGCTCACCTTTCTGTGGCCAGATAATTGAATGCAGTTATTCTTTAATTGAATCCTCCTTCATTCCCCTGCTCTGTTGTGAGGGGAAGGGGAGGGCTTGCCAATATAAACAGTACTTTGTTTACATTGATGACCACTGTGATTGGTCATCACAGTAATCACAGAGCCGCTCCAACCACTTAATGGTTGGAGCAGTGGTTATGTTGCGCAGGCAGCGTGCCCACATGTGAACAAGAAAGGACATACAGGTACGTCCACCCCGCGCAGTAGGTGGGCCATCTGGTTGTTGTAAAGTTGTTGCATAGTGGTTCCATTTTAAAATGCATAAAAGTTTATAAATAAAATCTAGAAAAAAAAACGATTTCAATGTATGCGTCCGGGAATCATACATAGTGCTTTGTGGTTGGCCATATTATTTTTTTTAAATTGCAGTTTTTTTTGATAAATCAACATTGTTTGGCATGTGCATTCTGTTGTGCAGTACGGTATAAAATCTGCTCTTTAAGAGTCCATTCACATCCCGGGGTGCATACATGTTAACACGTATGTTTGCATTAAGGCAGTCTATTCAAATGAATGAACTGACAATACATTAAATGTCAGAAAAAAATTTTTTTGTTGGTGCCAGTACAAGCTGGCCAGTCAGGAAGCCAGGCGTCAAGTCATTAGCCATCCCTGGCTTCCTGATTGGCCAGAAAGCCAGCTCCATGCTTCTTCATCACCTGATAACGAAGGAGCATGGAGACGGCTTCTCCCTGCTAATCGGGAAGCTGGGTGGCGAGTCTTTACTCGCTGCCCGGCTTCCCGGGTAATCAGGAAGACAGGTGAAAGTCATTACACGCCATCTAGCTTTCTTAATGGGACTTCCGGTATCAGTGAGTACCATAAAAAAATATCGGTACTTGTACTCCATAGAGAAAAACCGGTATCGTTGCATCCTACTACAAATGTAAAAAAAGAAGTTGATGAAAGCTTTCTTCATATGCGGTACTTGTTGGATGTTAACTGACAATAGATAATCACACAGAGATCAATAATAAGTTTACAGTGTATAGGCTTACATTGTAAGGTTGGTTATACCATTAGTGACCGTCTCTCCAATTATGACTACGTTAATGAATTAATGGGTATCTATGGTCAAAAACTAAAAATAAAGAAAGATGTAAAGACAAAATGCCCTGGGCACCATAAGGAGTAAAATAATGCGGCAGCCGTGATAAATCCTGCTTGCGGTCAAGTTAATAGTGGGAAAGGCTGAAGATGCATGGTTAAATAAACTCTGAGCCTACTATACTATGGGTCAAGAATGTGTAAGGCGCAGAGTGAAGGGAACAGGAGTGTGTAACACACAGAGTGAATGGATAAGGATTGTCTAATGCACGGACTTCAGCGGTCAAGAGTGCGTAATGCATGGAGTGCAGGGGCCAGGAGTGTGTAACGCAGAACACAGGGGTCAAGAGTGCATGGCGAAGAGCAGGAATCAGGAGTATGTACCATACAAAGTGCAGGGGTCAGGACTAGGTAACACATAGAATAAAGAAGTCAGGAACAAGTAACACATGGAGTACATGAGGTCATGAGTAGGTAATGCATATAGTACAGAGCTCATCAGTAGGTAATGCCTGGAGTACAGGGCTCATTAGTAGGTAATGCATAGAGTACAGAGGTCATCAGTAGGTAATGCATAGAGTACAGAGGTCATCAGTAGGTAATGAATGGTGTACAGGGGTCATTAGTAGGTAATGCATGGTGTACAGTGGTCATTAGTAGGTAATGCTTGGTGTACAGGGGTCATTAGAAGGTAATGCAGGGGTCATCAGAAACTACCCCCTCTTCCTAGTACAAGCCCAATTCCAAAATAAAGTTGGGATGCCGTGTAAAATCTACATGAAACAGAATGCAAGGATTTGCAATTTTCAAAAACCCATATGTTATTTACAATAGAAAATTGTTTAAACTGGAAAAATACCATTTTAAGAAGAAAAAAAAAGGTAATTTTGAAATTGATGGCAGCAACACGTCTCAAAAAAGTTGGGACAGGGCAACAAAAAGCTGGCAAAGTAAGTGGTACTAACAAGGAAGAGCTGGAAGAACATTTTGCAACTAGAGTAGTTAGGTTAATTGGCAACAGGTCAGTAACATGATTGGGTACAAAAAGAGCATGTCAGAGAATTTCGTGTCTCAGAAGTAAAGATGGGCAGAGATTTACCTATATGTGAAAAGCTATGTCTATAACTTATTGAACAATTTCAGAGCAATGTTCCTCAATGTAAAATTGCAAAGAATTTAAATATCATCATCTACAGTACATAATATAATCAAAAGATTCCTAGAAGCTGGAGAAATCTCTGTGCTCAAGGGACAAGGCCGAAACACATTGTTGGATGTCGGTGATCTTCAGGCCCACAGATGGCACTGCATTAAAAACAGGCATGATTCTTGGAATACTTCCAAAAAGTGAACATAGTTCACTGTGCCATCCAAAAATTGTATATTTTCTCAGTTTAAACATTTGATGTGTTTTCTATTTTCTAAATAAAAGTGAATACAATATGGGTTTATGAGATTTGCAAATTATTGCATTCTGTTTTATGTAGATTTTACACAGCGTTCCAACTTTTTTGGAATCTGGGTTGTACAATTCCACCTCCCCCATACAGATCCCCCCCAAATCCCCCCTAGTACAGATCTCACTAATAGAGACTTCCCTTCTGACATACCTCCTCCCCTTAACCTCCCTCTACATACAGACTATCTCCCAAACCCCTTCCCCCCATGCAGACTCCAGAGCACCCTCAAGTTCCATTCTAAACTTAACAGACTTCAGACACAACAGAACATAGTCTTCCCCTCCCTCCGTCACGTGGCATTCGCATCAGAGCCGTGTAGGAAATTTGGGGAGCTCTCCTTGGCTCTGTATATACACACAGCTACTGTATCTGAGGTCTGAAGCGGCTGCATGTGAAACTCATCAGAGCCAAGGAGGAGCTTAGGGGAGCTTTCTTCGGCTCTGTAAACACAGCTACAGCTACTGTATCTGAGGTTGAGTAAGAATGGCCACAATTTATGACACCTGGGAACCGGAATGTCTCAGCACTACACTAGGCAGTCATCCACTGGGATGCTGTTTGCCAGGGATAAAGCCCTCAAAACAGGGATTGTTACAGTCAAACTGGGATGAATGGTAACCTTAGGCTAAGCCGGCAAGCAGAGTTGCCCATTTCGGCCCTGTTCCCTGCCACTTATCACCATTGACTGGTACCAGCTTCTGCGCTACCCCTCTTATGCCACAGTCAGTTAGGGTAGAACTACGGTACCAAAAGACACATATAATGTAGCACTAGCATTACCCCCTGAAATATAGGTTTATTACCTTTTGCTCCTGCTAGCAAATCAGTTGATTTTCTTTTCCCTGTAATAGGGAAACAATGCTGTTCATTCTTCAGTAAAATCATGCTGCAACACTGTCACCCTGTGGGGCAGGGTAATCTTAAAGGACATGTAGCTACACATAAAGTATGTGACAAACAAATTAAAGCACATCTCCAGTTAACACTTTTTAAGCAATGTTTTTTTCATAAGGAAAAAAAGGTTGAGTTGACAGTTGAGCCCCTGTCAGTATACTATTTGTTCCAGCCCTGTAACTGTCACTTTTGATTCTACAGTGCATTACAGGATACCCGTGGGCCCATCAGGTACATTAAATACATACTTACATTGGGCCACGCTGGACCAATGTGAGTATGCATAAGACTTTATACCTGGAGTTCAGCTTTAAGCATATTACCTGTTACACTGGATACTCTTGACACATCTTGTGAGTGAGAATAGCGATTCCGGTTCTGGTTCTGGTTCTTGCGCTTGCTTGTTGCAGATCTTGCTGTCCTCAGGTGAACCTCACTTGCTTTGAAAAAAGCTACCATGAATGGCTGCTTGTCATATGGGCCATCCCTGCCAACCAGACCGGCAACTCTTGTGTTTACATTCTGACCTGGAGCCAGATGAAAGATGAGTGCATTTGTTATGTAAGGGAACTATAGCATGTATAAATATACATTGAGATCTATAATTATGTCTGTTAAATAACATAATGTATAACCTGTAATCAAATGGAATAAAATTCAAGTACAAGTAAATACATGGAATAACATATGAGCAAAAACGATGGTATGCATGAAAAGGAATTAATGTACATTACATAAACGTGTAGGAATTTTGAATTTTGTAAGGCAGCAGTGAAGATCCAGCCCAGTAGGTCTCTAACAAACAGAAATTTCAAGGAAGACGGCATTCTTTAGAGGCTAAAACCTTTGCACAGTGCCTAATCAACTTATAACTGATACAGAAAATAGATATGGGAGCGGCAAATTCACTACACATGCAACAAAACAACATTTATTATTTTTCAGTCTTGTGAGCAAAAAACACCAGGTGACCTAACGAAAATCAGTTTCTAATATTTTATTAAATCACACATTTATACACTTACAAATGTATGCAGTAGCTTATAAACACTAGCAAGTGTGATACCTACACTAATCAATGAGAATATGAAGTCATATATAGCAATGACAAGCTACCTTACGTTCAGGTTACCCTATACCTCCTTAAAAGTACAGCAACACATTAAAGATCCAAATCCAGCTTATCCTCTACATGAGAGCAGGTTAGATTAGGAAGAACTCTTGCAGCAGACGTAATTATTGTGTGTGGCTTTCATATATAATGATATTTTAATTCACTTCTTTTGATGAGAAAAAGTATATATTAGTAACACCCCCTCCCCAATTCAGTGTTAAACCCACTTTTCTCATGGTAATTTTTTTTAAATAGAAAAGTTTGCTAGGTTTTTTTTATTACTTAGCCTTAGTAATAATAGATATAATTTAATCTGGTGTTAAATTTTTTATATATTTGTTTAAAGAAGCTTACAACAGTAACAACAGCCAAAAAAACAACACATAAGAAGATCAAAAGAGTGATGCATACTACATTTGCTAAATTTGTCCGCAATATATCGATGACATTTTTGCAGGAGCTTTCTCACTCTCTCTCCCCTGCCCCTTTTTCTATTTTTCTCTATTCTCTCTATCTCTCTATTCTATGCTTTGAAGAGCAAAGATCTGTTAAAATGTATTTACATGCACAAAACACTTTACAAAAACACACATTATATATATA